TTAGTCAGCGTATAGAATAAACTTGATAATGTGATAAGATTCCATTTTGCTGGTCTGTGATAAAGCGTCTTCAGATATGGACGCTCATTCAGTGGCGATTTGCTTGAGAAAGGGTAATAATAGCACGCAAGAGGGGAAAAGAGAGGGGAGTTCTTTCTTTTCGCGGGAGACCTCCATACTATATACATTTTGTAAATTATCGTATGGTAATCATTTTTTAAATAATATTTTATTTAATTTTTTTGTGGTATTTATTATTTATTTACATAAATGAAATTTAATTTTTAAAACAGTTTGAATGTTTTAATAGCAAGTACATAGTATACAAAGTATAAATGGTCATTCTAATGAACACTTTTCATATATTTCTTTGCTTTTGTCACCATCTTCAATAGGCTCTAAATTAGATAAAAATGCGTTATATTGTTCCATAATATCATCTGTGGTACTTTTATTTGTATCATCATAATCAATACCAACTGACCACAATGTTTCTAAATCATATAATGATCTGGCAGAATCAGAAAAAATATGTAATGCAATATTTCCTAACAACAGAAAATACAAATATTAATACAAGTATTTTAAAAGCACAATAAATATTTTGAAATATAATAAAGAAAACAATTACCTAAATCTAAAGCTATCCAATCCTTTGAAGTTTGTCCTTCAATTTTTGGTATCAAATCTGCTTTATGTTTTTTTAATTTATATACTTTACGGATAAAAACAGCAAGTGCTTTCATGTGCTTATTCGATTTGCCTGTGACTACAACCATGTAATCAACATATGATAACTCAGAAGGTACTGAAGCCACGAAAATATTTTTGGCATTATCTCTTTGTAATAATGATACAAGTTCTTCTATTTCAAATACACCATTTATACCACCTAATAAATAATATCATTAATATTTTTTGCTCAAGAAAATTATAACTATTCATACACATAAAAAGTTCGCACTATAGTACACAGTAAATTGTATTTTCACTTACGTTTTAAATTAATTCCTTCGTAAGGATCATAATGTTCCTCCTCACTCATTAAATCTTCTAAATTAATAGTTTCTTGTTTCTCACTAATATCGAAAATAATTTCTGCGTCTTCTTCCTTAAAAATTTTGTGAGTAATACCAGCCGAACCGATTAGGTTATGTACTCGGCTTTCATCATTTTTATCATTTTTGAAGTATTTTTTATTGTTTGTTGAAAACTGTGTAATTTGTTTTAATTGAAAATATGTTACTACATTATTTGTGAAAGGTTTAGAATATTTATAAACTAATTTTCTTGATTGTAGCAAACTTGGTAATAAACGGCTTCGCATGTTGTAGTATGTGGAAAACAAGGTTATGTTTGTATTTAACAGAACTATATTATACCGTTATTATTGTGCTACATCGCACTACTACTATTTAACATGTGGCAATAGTATGCATAGATTTTTTCATAGAATTCTTTAAGAATTCCATATAATTTTTTAAATGGGTAGGGTCAGGAAGAAAATAATGTGGTTTAAATGATCAGTTTATTAAAGCGTATAAGATACGTACATTAATAAAAGAAGACTCTCTGTGCGAGAAACATTACATTAATTTTTGAAATAACCTTATTCAAGTTGATCTGAATGATGATGTTACTTTTACAGCTGCAAGAAAGAGTTTATGAAATTAATAATTGTTCTCATCAAAATTAGAAATATAAAACTTTTTTATCACATATAATCAATTATAATGCACTAATGTCCAATTCATACACTATATTTCTCTTTAGGTAAACCTTTTGTGAAATACATTTATGAATTGTATAAAATAATTTGAATATTTTTTAAATTATTAAGACCCATGATATACTTACAGAGGTTATAGGTGCAAAATTTACTTAGACCTTGCACGCATCTTCCTCCTTTTGCGTTTTAGCCTACGCATTCTCTTCTTTCGCCACTGAAAATTAAATGTTTCCAATAACCTCCATCTTAATAATTCCTTATTACAAATTACCTATCATTTTCTATAGTAAATATGCAGCATACAAAATCAGATCAACAAGAATTACAATGTATAACAAAATATTTTTAAGTGTTCTTAGGATAGCCAAAAATAAAGAAATATTACATTTAGTGATTGTGTCAAACAAACATGCCGCACGGTGACGATTGAAACACCGTATATTCAAAGATCAAAAACATAAAATGATAAACTTATTGTATAAAATATAAAAATTAGTAAAATAATATTAATATTGTCTTACCTTTGCTCTCATTATGGAATTACGAGATCTCTAGATTATTCTAGAATCTTTTGATTATTGCCGAGTTAGAACCTCCACTTTCCTTCACGCTTTAATGCAAATATGGCAGAGAAGTACTCGTTCATTCTGAGCCCGGAAACATCGTGCTTTATAGTTTCTGTATTTAGCTGTAGAGGGCTGAGAAATTATATGTACGCGTGTTTAATTAAATTAAATAATTTAAATCATATGCAATGTAATTAATGTCTTATTTAATTAAATAATTTAAAATGACAACTTATATCCGTATAATATTTTTCGTTACATATTAATTTTATATTTTTCAAGTATGTTTATTTTCGCGCAAAAAGTCATCAACATCCGTTTCTTTTTTACAGATCTTCATTTTCCCGCGTTTAAAGTGTCTTCCCGCGAAAAATCACAACGAATTGTACTTGTTGAATAGCACACAAAAGTGCTTATTAACAGAAAATAAGAAGTACTTAAAAAGGTTGTTATTTTACGAATTGAGGCCCATGAAATAACATTAATGAACGTGCAGTTTAATTTACATCTTGGAAAAATTGCTAAGTGATCTTTTTCTAAATAGAAGATTGTAGGTTAAAAAGTAACAAGAAATAAGATATTAAATTATTAGATACATTTTTCCTAAGTAAAGAATAATTCAATTTTGTGAAAACAGTGTAAGTTAATAATTTAAGTGCCTTGAAATTTATATAAAAATGACAAGTATCCAAACGACAATACCATTTAATATACGAAAAAAATGTTCGTTTTACGGGACTAAACATAACATAACAAAAGAGGATTTTACCAATGCAACTATTAGAAATTCCTCTGATAAATACATACCGACTGTAAAGAAAGTCATTACTTTAAGTAGTAGTGAATCGGACTCAGATTCAGACGTAGAAAATACATCGATAGAGAATAATGTAAAAGTTAGCGGGAATACTACGACCGTACAAACTCCGCGATGTACACGAAAATCTAGTGAATCCGGTGGTATGTAAATAAATTTATATAAGTTTTTGTTAAGCATATGTTTTATAACGTTACAAAATATTGTGATATCTTTATTTCATAAGAACGTGGTTCTACACCTCCTAAGCAGAGGAGGATAAGTAAATCAATGATAGTAACATCTCCATCAACACCATCTACTCTTTTTGATAAATTAAATTTGGCATCATCTGCTGATAAGGATGAAAAACTAACTCCTAAAAAATTGTTTGGATCAGAAAGGTATTGCAATGCTCGTAAAGCTTTACATAGTTCAGTACCTGAACATTTACCTGGCAGAGAATATGAATTGCAAAAGTTACAAGAATTTCTGGAAGAGCATGTAAAAAATGAAACATCTGGTTCCTTGTATGTGTCAGGATCACCTGGTACTGGAAAAACAGCATGTCTTTCAAAGCTTATGTTGAAAACTGAGTTCAAATTAAAATTTAAAGTAGTTTATGTTAATTGTACAACTATGAAATCTGCTGCTACAATTTATGCAAAGATAATTCAAGAATTGGATATATCAGCACCCAAGTCTGGAAAAAACAATAAAGCAATTATTGAAAAATATTTAATCTCCAATCACAAAATGTTACTGTTGGTTTTAGATGAAATAGATCAGTTGGAAAGTAAAAAGCAGTCTGTTTTATATTCTATCTTTGAATGGCCATCAATCCATAAATCAAAATTGATTTTAGTAGGCATTGCTAATGCTTTGGACCTGACAGATAGAATATTGCCTAGATTACAAGCTAGATGTGAATTAAAACCAAAATTGATGCATTTTTCACCATACACAAGACAACAAATATACAATATAATATCAGAAAGATTAAGTGAAGCAAAGGTATCCGACTTATTTACAGGAACTGCAATACAAATGTTAGCTGGCAAAGTTGCTGCTGTTTCTGGTGATATTAGAAGGGCATTGGATATTAGCAGAAGGGTAGTAGAAATTTCTGAATCTCATAAGTTAGCACAGGTTCTACAACCAACAAATGATAATGGTATGTGTTATTATGAACTCTAAAAATGAAATGGAAATAAGAAAGCAAATTGTTGTTTTCTGTAAAGATTTATTTTTGTTGCAGAAACAAATACAGGTAGCCCGAAAAAGCAACAATTCACAGCAGAGAAAGCGGTAGACTTGAAAGAAGTTATTACAGTTTTGAATGGTGTTTATGGAGGGTCTCAAAGTATTCAAAAGGAAGAGAGTACATTTCCATTACAACAAAAATTGCTATTATGTTCACTTTTACTTATTCTAAATAAAGGACGAAATAAAGATGTGACAGTGGGAAGAGTAAGCTTGCTGGAATATAATTAAAGATTTGACCAAAGATTTCAATATGAATTATTATAATTATGTTTCAGTTGCATGAGGTGTACAAAAAAGTCTGCAAGAAACGAAATATTCATGCTGTTGATGCATCTGAATTTTATGGTTTATGTTCCTTAATCGAAACTAGAGGTATTTTCAAATTAGCAGGTAAAAAAGAACCTCGTTTATCAAAAATAAATTTGGAATGGGATCAGGAAGAGTTAGATGCAGCTTTGCAAGACAGAAATATGATGGCTGAAATCATTAATGATATAACTTGTTTATAGATATTTAGACAAATTTTCGTGATATGTTTCTTTCATGTTGAAAAACACATTATGTCTTCGTAATAACATATGACGGCTATTTTGGAACAGTTTATAAATTATAGCATGTTTTATATTTTTTTAAAAGTGCGATTTAATATGTTGTACTTCATATGAAATTTATATAAAAACTTTATCGAAAATTTGCATCTTTATAATTTTCGTTTCATATTTTATCTCATAAACACTCTATTATATTTAAATTTTAATAAATGCAACATATTTTTTATTATGTCCATTATTTATAATCCTGATTTAGCTGTGTATAGAAAGAAATAATTGTGAAAGAGTTTGTGGTAACTTAAATCAAAGACGAGGTACAGGATAGACCTAACACAGCAATTGAATCAAAAGTAAAAACGCGAATTCATATCTTTTTCGATTCTAGGATATAAGAAAATTTGAATAAAATACGCGATGAGAATTGGAGAGAAGCATAAGTTAAACGCGTAAAACATTCAATAATAAACGAACTAGGGATGAAGCTATTATTTCAATACGCGATGCACTGAACTCAAGTATTTACTAAAATTCAAAAATTCTCGCATAAATTCCGAAAATAGATTATTAATTACGGTAAACTACTGAGACGGTTTAATTAAGGGTGGGCATGGTGCTGCTTTAGTTTGAAATGATTTATAAACACATAATTAACAGAGGAAAAACCGTGAAACGGCAAAACGTCAACATTCTAATTGTTATAACATGTAAACAAAACTTTAAATTTAGTGTAAACAGAAAAAATATATAATACAATTTATTTCACGGTATTGCAACAAATAAACGTTGAATCAATATTTAATTCGTATAAAAACAATTATTTAACGTAATAATTTTACCTTCACTATGGCTATTCTTAATCTACGACCACAGGTCAACCTGATTTCTAATCCTTACGAACTTTAAATTCAGTCTAAACTGAGAAAATATATAATACAATTTATTTCACGGTATTACAACAAATAAACGTTGAATAAATATTTAATTCGTATAAAAACAATTATTTAACGTAATAATTTTACCTTCACTATGGCTATTTTTAATCTACGACCACAGGTCAACCTGATTTCTAATCCTTACGAACTTTAAATTCAGTCTAAACTGAGAAAATATATAATACAATTTATTTCACGGTATTGCAACAAACAAACGTTGAATAGATTCTTAATTCGTATAGAAACATTTATTTAAAATAATAATTTCACCTTCACTATGGCTATTTTAAATTTACGACCAAGGGTCAACCTGATTTTTAATCCTCCGAACTTGATTTCACAACGAGAAAGTAATAAGATCGTTGAAACGTACTTATTTGTCAAAGAAACTTGCAAAAATGTATAAATAATAATATGTAATGTTTTAACAAATTTTTGGAAGTATAAATTAATAATAAAATTGTGAAAATTAATAAATTATACGTTATTATAACATTAATAGAATTATGACTAAACCGAAGTTCGAAGTCGAGTATTTAAAGTCTGATATTACGTGCCTAGCGAGTGCCGGTAATTGTTAAAATTTGTTTAATAATTAGTAATAGAAATTCTAATTGATTCTAATGTATACAAGTGTTACAAGAAGGCTGAGTGTGTACAGGGTGGACATAGACTAGCTAGTAGCCCCCGACCACTCTATTCACATCTCAGAACCTTCAGGTCAAAATACGCCGCGAAGTGTCTAGGGCCCAGTATAAAGGGTAAATGATTTCGCGGGACATCGGCGGGTCCTTATATACCTGCGGTACCCTCTCCCCAAAGTCATTAGCAAAATCGTCGGTTAGGTCAGGCGGGAAATTTTCGCGGGAGATTTTCGCGGGAGATTTCCGATATCGTAACACGGTATAATTTATCAATTTTCACAATTTTATTAAAAATTTATACTTCCGACAATTTGTTATAACATTGCATATAACAATTTATACGTTTTTACAATATTCTTCAATGGAAACATAGGTTTTAGCGTTCTCGTTACTTACTCGTGGTTAAATTAATTTCGTAGGGATTAAAAATCAGGTTGACCTGTGGTCGTAGATTAAAAATAACCATAGTACAGCTAAATTTATCGTGTTAAATAATTCTTCTTACACGAATGAAAAATGTATTCAACGTTTGCTTGTTACAATACCATGAAATAAATTATTTGTGCAGTTCTGTGCATTTTCTGTGCAGTTCAACCTAATTTACTTAAATTTACATTGCGAGACAGTATACTGTAACAAGTAGTAACAAGCAAACGTTGAATAAATTCCTAATTCGTATTAAAAAAATTATTTAACACAATAATTTCAGCTTTATTATGATTATTCTTGATAAATGACCACAGGTCAACTTGATTTTTAATCGTTATAATCTTTAAATTCAGTGTGAATAGAGAAAATGTGTAATATAATTCATTTCACGATATTATAACAAACAAACGTTGAATACATTTTTGATTCGTAGGAAAAGAATTATTTAACACGATAATTTTAGCTGTACTATCACTATTTTTAATCTACGACCACAGGTCAACCTGATTTTTAATCCCTACGAAATTAATTTAACCACGAGTAAGTAACGAGAACGCTAAAACCTATGTTTCCATTGAAGAATATTGTAAAAACGTATAAATTGTTATATGCAATGTTATAACAAATTGTCGGAAGTATAAATTTATAACAAAATTGTGAAAATTGATAAATTATACCGTGTTACGATATCGGAAATCTCCCGCGAAAATCTCCCGCGAAAATTTCCCGCCTGACCTAACGGACGATTTTGCTAATGACTTTGGGGAGAGGGTACCGCAGGTATATAAGGACCCTCCGATGTCCCGCGAACTTATTCACCCTTTATACTGGGCCCTAGACACTTCGCGGCGTATTTTGACCTGAAGGTTCTG